CTACCCTATTAGCATCAAGTTTCTAAACAGCATTTTCCTGACTCAGGACATTTACAGGACAGAAACTGGAATGAGAAATTGTTCTTTCATTACATATTGCAGGTAAAGACTAGTTTTCAAATAATTCTGAAAACTCTAGGCACAACAGTCCAAAAATTCCATAACAGCCAATCAGATCAAACTGTATCTCTGAAGAGAAAAAAAGAAAGGGGAAACAAGAATGAATAGAGCAATAGATTCTCCCTGTGCAGAACATGACTAAAGCTGTAGACACAGGTAGGCCTTTACTGCAAGGCTAAGTGTCACCTCAGCAACAGCACTGGACCACCTATCTTCATTTCACCCTCCAATGGGAAACAAGTCTCTTTTCCCAAAATTTAACTTACTCTGAGCTGACAAGTATTAACTGAAAACAGTCTCCAGGACAACAGTGACACTTCAGCCACAACACAAGTTTTCTGAGGCACACCCAGCACCCCAAAGCTGGCAGTGTGTCTTCACATCACTCGAATTCTGCTGCTACAGAACCTACACAACACAGTCCCGCTGGTGGCACTCTGTGTGTCAGACATACTATCACACAAAAGGAAAAAAAAGGGAAAAAGGATACAAAGGCAATTCAGAGGGAATTCCATTCCACCTTGCAGGTTTCACTTTATCTGTCAGGTACTCCATGTGATTACTATAGTTATATTTATTGCTGGATACCCATGGATATGCATTTAATATAACAATTAACTACTTTATGACAACTACATTGAAATAATGGCAGGGAAATGAGCTACCAAAATGATGCAAGTGAAAATGAAAAGCAGAGCTTTGGTACAACAAAACTGGAAGAATATTCTCAGCTACAAAATTTGACTTCTCTGAGTTTTATCACAGTTTGGGCCTTATTTTAAACAAACTAACTGTCTGAAAGTAAGTGGTTTTAAAATGCTGTTCACGTATGCACCTTTCTCTTGCTCCTTGGCATACTTCCTGCCCTTTCCTCTTCAGGATCTTGGGAATGTGAAGAGGCTGAAGCCTGTACATGCCTGGCTTTGAAGTATCTGACTTCCTGCCTAAGCATATTTACACCCCTGCTACTTGCCAGACTGTACATCACCTGTGCCAGCTTCATCGCCTGTCATAAAATGGGTGGCTGGAATAACCAGCCAGTGCAGCTGTTTGCCTGGAGATGAGCAGAAACATGCCCTTCAGAAACCAAGCTCCAGAAAACAAAGCAATGACACTAAGAGCAGAAGAAATACAGAATAAGGAATCACTACCTCTTCCTACTGCAGTCTTCCTCAGCTGTTACAAATTAGTTTATTGCCTCACCCCAAATTCCTGTTTTCCTCCAAGCTCAGCTGTCTCAAGAAAGACTTTTTGACAAGGCTCACTTTTTGACGTGTTAACTTTGACACTAACCAGAAGGAAACAAGCACTTAACAAGCAATGGTAAGAAAGAGCTCGATGTTAATAAAAACAGCAACAAAACTGAAGCAACTGACAATGGATATGTGAGGACAAGGCTCCATCCTGGGAGATGGAGCTCAGTGTGAACAGAACCCGGACATGCAGGAGGGAGAGCGAGTCACTGCGAGGGACACAAGCACTGCCTCACCTTCCTCTTGTCCAATGAGGGTATGGCTACCCCATTGGAGCGGTTAAGGTCTGACACCAGCACCTTCAGAATGTTCTGAATCTACAGGAAGCGAAAGAAAAGGGGAAAGAGAAATGGCTCAGAGAAGGACAGAGAGAAAACATCAATCCAAGGCAGCCAAGGAACCATCCTCATCCAGCTCGTGGGAACCACACGCCTCAGCCCAGCAGCTCCGGGCACACCCAGGGCACCACTGGACAGCCTCCAATGCCAGCTGCACCTTCCAGAGCAGGCACCTCATACAGCACCTACACCACTCAGCTCTTACCCCAGCACAACCACTTCCAGCTCTGGTCAGACTGTCCAGAAAACTGAAGAAGAGGGAGGTGGCAAATGATTTCGCAGAAAGAGACACTCACATTCTCTGGAGGCTGCTGGTCATCAGTGGTGGGAGTGGCAGGTCTGCTGCCTTCTTTAGTTTTGCGTTTTTTCTTAGTTCCTGCAGTTGCTCCAGGGCTGTTCTTCTGCTGATATTCCTTCAGCTGTGAACAGAAGAAGACAAATCTGAAGTCCAAACAATATATGCCTTCTATAACCTCAAAGACCCCTCAAAACTAACTTCACTGGTAAAAATACAGATCAAGTGTAAGGACAAGGGGAATGCTCTTCCATTAATTTATCGATATGGGATAAAAACGGGAATCAAAATAAGCCCGGAGAAGGCTAAAGTTAAGACCAAAGTGATGGGTTTATGACAAGAGTTGTAAACATTCAACTTTTGTTTACAGCCAATGCTGTTCCTGGGAAATTGTTTCACACTCTACAGTACAACTAAAAGGAGATTGAAAGCACTGGTTTGCGGGATTTGAAGGTTATAAGTAAGAGCAATGAGGCAAAAGTAATAAAGGGCAATTAATCCTACATGCAAAGTGAGAAAGCACTGCCTGATAGTAGTATTTTCCACTCCACGGAAGATTTTATGAAGGACAGTTGCAATCCCCACAGCAGACACTGCAACAACTGCAAGCTAAGGGGAGAAACAATCTACAAATGATTTTTAATCGCATCCACTTCGCCCAGGAAGTGCCGGTCTGATAAGATGTAACTCGAATCCCTCCAGGTCTGCCGGCATTTCTGTGCAATTCCTGCACGCCCGAGCCCCAGAGCCGGCAGCTGTTTATGCAAACAACGGCACCCCCGGCCCGCACACCCCGGGCAGGCACGGCGGGGCAGCGGGGCACGGAGAAGGACGGAGGAGCATCCCATTATTGGTAGGATTTCAAAATGGAAGCCTGAACTGCTCCAGGACACTTTCCCGTTTCCGTGACTTTGACACAGAAGCGCATCCCGCCGGGACGCAGGCAGCCGGGCCGCCCCGAGGGAAAAAATACGGGGAAAAAGGAAGGCGGGGGGGGACAACGACACCCGCACAGCAGCCCGGGGAACCCTGGCAGCACCGCAGCCACCCAGGCCCGGCCTCGCCCCGGCCGCCCGCCGAGAAGGCCGGGCCGCAGCCCCGGAGAGCCGCAGCCTCCCGGGCCCGAAGCGAGGGGGCGGCCCGGCCCGGCCCGCGGGGAGGCCGCGCTCGGCCCGGCCCGGCCCGGCCCGGCCCGCGCGGGGCCCGCGGAGCGCAGCCGCCCCCGCTCCGTCACGTCGTGTCCCGTCCCGCCCGGACCGCCGGCCCCTCACCTTCTTCTTGGCCGCGGCCAACCGGCTCTGCCTGCTGCCGTCCGCCATGTCCGCCCCGCGCCCGGGCCACGTCAGCCCGCCAGCAGCGGCGGCGGCTCCGCCCCCGGCCGGCCCCGCTCCGCCCCGGGACACCCCGGGGTGACACACGGGGCAGCCCGGCCCCGCCGGGACAGCCCGGCCCCGGGACACCGCGGGACACCGCGGGACACCGCGCTCCCCGTGTGACACCGGGCTCTGCCCCGCTGCTGTAGTGACCCGGCAGCCCAGCGCAAATGCCGGGAGGGGCAGCCCGGCTCCCCTCGCTGTCCCGCCCTTGGTGTCCGAGGCTGATCCCGCGCGCAGGGCAGGCGGCAGGGTCGTTCTGTGTGATCCCAAATCCTTTGACCTTCCAAGCGCGGCAGCAGCTGAGGCTCGGGCAGCTCCGGCTCTGGGACACGGCGCTGACAGGGACACGCTCCCTGCGGCAGGACGGGGCCTCCAGCGCTGTCCGAGCCTCTGTGCGGGACTCGGGGGGAGCTGAGGGGCCCGGTGGGACACAGGGACAAGCGGGGGAGTGGGCAGTGCTCACCTTGCGAAAACAACATCGCAGCGGTGGCTACGGGCAAACACTGGACATGGCACCCAGGGCCGTGTCTGGTTGGCATGATGGTGTTCCATCACATGAGTGATTTTTCGAACTCGAGGTCTTTTCGAACCAGATTGATTCAATGATTCTCGAAATCTCCTGAGCCCCCGTCCCAGCTGAGGCACGGTGCTGAGATGTCTCTGAAGCACCAAATGTCACCACCTCGCCTGCGGCCCTCGGGGGACAATTGTGTCCTGCCACACCCAATGTCACCTGCAGCCCCACCACGGTCGGGCCCGGCAGGGGACTACAACTCCCGGCGTTCTCTGTGGCGGGGGGACTACAACTCCCGGCGTTCTCTGTGGCGGGGGGACTACAACTCCCGGCGTTCTCTGTGGCGAGGGGACTACAACTCCCGGCGTTCTCTGTGGCGGGGGGACTACAACTCCCGGCGTTCTCTGTGGCGGGGGGACTCCCCCTCTCCGGTGTGGCGGGAGCTCCGAGCCTGCAGCGGGAGCCCTCAGCCCTGGCCGAGCGGGTCCCGCCGGCCGCGGGCCGCAGCCCGCCCCGCCGCCCGCCGCCGCGGGCCCTTCCCAGGAGGTAGGAGCCGTTCCCCGCTGCCCCCCCCTCCCGGGCCGCGTCCCCGCCGCGGCGGGTGCCGGTACCGGCCCCTGACGCGGCGCCCTCTGCTTTGCCAGGGCCGGCGGCCGGCGGGGCGGCACGGCCGGATTCAGGGCACCGGTGAGTCCTGCGCGGGCTGCCCCGGGGAACGAGTCCCCTCGTTGGCGGGGCTCGGCCCTGCCCGTGGGGAGGGCTTTCCCTTGAGCGTTCCCCGGGTTAGCGCCAGCACTGCAGTTTGCACTGTGTCGTGCTGGGAGTTTCTCCTAAAAGGCACGTTGTGATTTTAATTCATTTGTTTTAATATTTTTTTTAATATATTTTATTTGAATTATTTATTTTCACTTTACAGTGTAGCTCTCGAAAGTGTGGTTAGATGTGGTATGGAGCACACTAGTGTTATGTACACTAATGCACATTTTATTTGAACCCCCCTCCCCGCCCACCCTGGGGATATTTTTTTCCTTTTCTCCTGTTTTATCATGTGACATGTACGCTATTTTCACATTAGTGCTGCAGCATTGTAACATCTTACCCAGAGCTGAGTTCCTGCTATGTGTCTTCTGTGTTCTACAGATCCCATCTCCAAAGTCCTTCCAGCTTAATGGAGCCAGCGAAGAAGCCCTGCAGTGTGAAATCAAAGAGCTGAAACAGAAAAATCTTGCTCTAGACCAGGAAATTGCACAATTATTGTCAGAGTACGTCCTTGGCAAGCTCAGTGTTTACTTGATGCCTTAATTATTTTTGTTTTTAAAATAGAATGTGATCCAGGAATTGGAGCTGAGAGCTGACCTTCTGTGATGCTGTTGTTGGTATGGTGCAATGTTGGTTACAGTGTTGTAAGTGATGGGACTTGTTAGAGACAAGAGGGAATTCTTTCCACTTTGTGTGGTAAAGCAAAACAAGTTTTACTGGGAGCTTGCATAAGAGGATTTTTGTTTTAGCCTGGGTGTTCCTGAGGTAATTATGTGTTTACTGGGAACAGATAATTTTAGCCACTTGTTATTTGTTGTGTTAGACTTATATTTTCTAAGGTAAATGTGGTGCATAGGATGGAAATGGTAGAACAACAACGGCTGTTCCAGAACTCTTTTTTATTTATCCTCAAGGGTAAACAAACCTAGCAACAGAACAAGAGGAAATGGCCTCAGGCTATGCCAGGGGAACTCCAGGTTGGACATCAGGAGGAATTTCTTTGCTGAAAGGGTGATTAAACATTGGGCTGGGCTGGCCAGGGAGGTGATGGAGTCACAATCCCTGGAGGTATTCAAGAGATGACTGGATATGGCACGAAGTGTTCTGGTTTAGTCAGTATGGTGGTGCTTAGCCAAAGGTTGGACTTGATGCTCTTGAGGGTCTTTTCCATCCTAAATGAATCTATGATTCTTATTTTTTTCCCTATATACAGATTAGAGATACGTATCAAAGGAATTCACCACAGCCTACTCTTGTTTCTACTTGATTCTGAGAACTTGGGTGCATTGGCTTTCTTGAGCTTGTGTAGATCTTCATGTTTAGGACTTGCAGGAACTGCACTCTGTTGTGTTGAGTCTGCTTTTGAGGTTCCAGGCTTGGTGTCCCCCACAGCAGCAGGAAATCCCAGTCCCCCTGTGTCATTTCTGACCTTCCTGGTGTTATTTTACAGGGGCTACAGCCTGGAGGAACTGGACAAGCACATCTCTCTGCTCCATGAATACAATGAAATCAAAGATGCTGGGCAGATGCTCCTGGGCAAGCTAGGTAAGAAAGGGAAAGCTGTTCAAGACCTTTTTAGTCAGTGTTTTCATACAGAAGGAAGCTGCTACTATGGAAGCAAAGCTTGTGTTACAATTCTTCACTTTTAAAAAAGTGTTTGGGTATGCAGGAGGCATAGCTGCAAAACCTTGGGTTTCTTGGCTATAGGATGTGCTATGGGATAATTAGGGAAAGAAAACACCACGTTTCTGACTCCCATGATCTTTGTTTAATGAAAGCAATGCTGTTTTTTTATTTCCTAGCTGTTATCCGAGGGGTCACTACAAAACAGCTCTATCCTGAGTATGACCTGGAACTCAGTGACTAGTCCTGAACCTGGAAGCTGCCATGTCATGCAAAAGTGACTGTCACTGTGCCATTACACATTGGTGTCATCCTGGTTTAGGAGAGACAGAAAGTGGAAAAGGAACCTTTGGAAAAGGGATGTAGGATTTTAGATAATTTCATGTACTACTTGATCAACAGGTTTTTTTTTTTTTTAAGGTTGTAGTTCAGGTTGATGTTGAGCCTCTTCCATGGACCCTTTGATTCCCTATAGTATCCAGGGGCTGTTTGTTTACTGAATGGATAGAGGAAGTGAGGGCATACAAATGTGCAATGTAATAGCTGCTTTGAAAGGAAAACCCTCAGAAGAAAGGAGGGAAGAAGGCAGAAATTGTGGTGGTTTGGGGGTTTCTTTTGTTTTATCAACAAATCCAGAGAAGTCTGGGTGTTCTGCATTTTTGTACTTACCTGCTCTGGTATCTGGAGGTTTTGTATCATTTCTGTAGTAAATGGCAAAATGTAAAGTTGTGTTGACTGTTCACTCTGAATAAAGCAGCCTTCACATTTGTCAGTAAATCACTTTAAGAGCCTATAAAACAGTGCATGAACCTGGGAAAAAATTCTAAAACTATATTGAGACATGAACTATTCAAATGTTTTCTCCAGGAATGTGCAGGTGCAGAATCACTTTGCTCTAAGTGCAGAGTCATGGTGGGAGTGAGTGCTGTGCTGGACATTGCATGATGATGTTGGGAGCATGAGTGTTTCAATGTCACTGATAGGGCTGAGGGTGACTGCACAGACTAAATTTGGCTGCTTTGGGCACTTGGAAGTGATGAAGTGCTCTGCTGACTGCAGATCTATTGTCCCTTTTTCACTCAGACTTGATGTCCTTCTGCCCATTTTTACTTCCCAAGACCTTCCAGCCAGTAAGTTTCCCCTGTGGTCTCCAGTTAGGCCCATGCTGCAGTCTGCTTGTTCCTTCCAAATTTGAATCAAATTAATCTATCTTCATTGTGATTGGAAGCCTGAAACCAGTCACAAGGCTGCTGCTGAGAGCAGATAATTGGTTTTACACTCCTGGCTCTGGATGTGGCACAGATACATCACTAATAGTGTCTTGTTTTGCCTTAAAATCTGTGGGGAGTGGTCTCAAGCAGGGGGACGGAAAGAGCCTGTATATTCCATGATTCATCTAAGTAAGTTTCTGTTGATGTGCAGCTGTGCAGAATATTTCCTGTGCCCAGACCAGAGTGGATTCTCAGAGGACACGTTCACACCCCTCCCCAACACATACCCCTCTGCCAAGTGTGGAACACTCAAGTTTTTTGTAGTAGTTTTAAGGGGAGGAAAAAAGGCACAAGGTGGCAAAAACTAGGAAATGCAAACTCTGTTACTAAAGTTGCTGTTTTGGCTGGTATTTCCTGTCTGTGTACAAGGACTAGCTCAGCGTTTGGAGTGTTCCAACCAAAATGTTCCTCTGTCAGTGACACAATTGGAAATTGTTTTTGCAATAGGAAGTATGTATGGAAATTGTTCAGTTTTTGTGAGGTGTGAGCTGAGGGGATGAAGTACAGTCCATTACCAAAGTTACTGAAGGTTGTTCAAGGAGTGAGAAGTCGGTATTTTCTTCCCCACTAAGTAGGAGCACTGGGTTAAAACTTGCAGCTGTAGCTGTGCAAGTGTCCTGCTTGTGGCTGCAGGGATGGGTTTACGCTTCAGGTAGCACTGGGCAGGTGTCCAGGGAAGGTCCCCTGATCCAAATCCCTTGTCCATGGAGAATGAGAACACCCACAGAACAGCCCAAGGACAGGGCACAGTGTGCTTGGGGAATCTCTGCTGCTGGCACGCTGGCTCTGCCAGGCGGTGGAGCTGCATTCCACAGCTGTTCTGGCTGCTCTGTGCAGCCTAGAGGAACCCAGAACTCAAAGACTCCAGGCACCAAGTTAAGGACTCCTGGGATGCTTCAGGACAGGACTGCACACTGTCACTGAGATACTTCATCGTGGCTCCTGTGACTGCCTCTCCCAGAGTTACTCTTGTACCTTTATGGCTGTCACCTGGAGGATGAAATATGCTGGCCTTTGTCCAAGTCCAGGAGAAGAACAGAATAAATCTGCTTTCCATGAATAAATGTCCAAACTCACTAAGTATATAACTGGAAAACCATTGAATGCAGTAATGGTACATGTCATTCCAGACTTTTAACTTGCATTTAGAAAGTGTGCTTCTGTAAAGTCAGACCCAGCTATAATGAGCTAACAGACTAAATGGTATAACAGTGTTTACAGTCTCCCAGAGGGCAGGGCTTGCTGTCTGCAAGGAGCTGCTGCAGAGGAGGATACCAGAGACCACTGAACACTCTTGGCTCCTCAGGAAAAAAAGGGTAAAATAAAGTATGGGTCAGTGTACATGGATGAGTACTGAGCCAGGAACCAACCTCTTCCCTGTGAGGTCATTTTCCATTTTATTTTTTGTGTATCCTGTGCATTAGTCCCCATTATAAGCCACTTTTCATCACTGCCTGCTCTGGATAAAACCATTTCCTTGCATTGCTTTGGGTAAGCTGTGTTTTCTCCTGTACATCCCTCATTTAGCCTGATTTTGAGCTCTCATGTGTCTGAGAGCAGGGCTAATGGAAAGAAAATACTTCAGGAGAACACAGGGAAAATAAAATCCATACAGCAGATAAGTTATGCTGCCAGTTGCAAGGAACAAATCTGTGCAGTCAAGGGAATACAGCTTTCTAAGACTCTACTTCCTGCTGCTAAACAATTCGGGAATGGGTTTTTAGATCCCTTAGCAACCTAATGTTCTCAAAATCAACAGGAATTTTGGCACAGCTACCTCCTGTTAATGAACTGTTTGTGATGCTTTAAAAAAAATTATACAGCCTGTCACTGAACAAAAAAAAAGCCTCTGATAAAAGTCATTTCAAGGAAAGGGTGGAAGTGAACTGCAATTAACCTCTTTCCTTCTGCTGTCCATCACATTGCTGGCCCGTCGCTGCTGTATTGTGCTGCAGGGATTGCTCATGGACACTCCTGCAGAGCATGCTCAGCTGTCCCCATCCAGCTGATGAAGAGGACTCTTGTCCCTCCCCGTGTGCCAGGGTTTTCTCCAGCTCCGTTTCCACTTTGAGCTGGCAGTTCCGAATTGCCTCCTGGATGCTCTGCAGGTTCCACTGAGTTCTCGGCAGAGCGTCGTCCACGGTGAAAACCCCGTCGCGAATTCTCCGCACTTGTGTGCACACAGCAGATGATTTCAGCTCCAGACCAATCTCGTGAACCATCTTCCGGAGGTACTGCTGAGTCTCATGCAAGCAATGGATTTCTAGGAGGACAGAGACATTCCTTCAGAAGCAGAGCTTTGACACAAGTTCTGACATTGTAAATCCAGACATCACTCGCAGTTTACGCTGAAAAAACTGGTTTGGCAGAAGACACTAAGAGCATGGTATGATTTTCTGGAGTACTGCAGGGTGTTCCACACCCTTCCAAAGTGACTACTTTAGAAAACTAAACCTATAGATATAGAAGAATAATGTAGAAATTTAGCTATTTCAAAGGGGATAAAAAACACCTTTTTAAATAAGACAATTTGTGAGGGAAAGGGGGTGGGCTACAGGGAAACAAACCACACTTTAAAAAAAACCCAAAACCCAGCACTGAAAGGCATTATACTGAAACACTGAACGAAGAATTTCCCCCATAAGTATTCATGATGCAAATTTTCAAGCTTCGGGCTCGAATCTGAACTGGCAAGGCAAAAGCTATGAGCTGGCTGGATAAGTTATAAGTTGATAAGAAATTCCCACCAACTCATTTTGGATTAAATAATGAGTAAGAAAATGAAGTTTACCAACTTATTTGCCACAATATATACTCAGAGCTCCCCAGTACATTCTGTTCAAGTCCTACCCAGCTGGAATTCTGGAAGTGCAAACTGGAGGCATCGGATTGCTGTGATTATTGGGGGGCTTTTTCCCATGGGGCGAATCAACCCTTTGACAGCCAGCTCGTATGCCTCTTGTGTTTTCATATCAATATTAGAATACCTAAGGGAAAAACAGAGAGCAGCAGAGATATTTAGAACTTTGCTCCAAAGATATTCAAAATATGTACCTCCCAGTAAAACAGAGATGCAATTTTTATTCATAAAACCATCCAGTGAGTTTTTGCAGATATTTTAGTGGTGTATGTTCTATCAGTAGTGTAGCACAGTATGGGAGGGAGGTACTTGGTCACGTCTACAAGTTATTTTTGTCAGCCCTAATATAGCAGACTGGACCTAAACCAGCAGATTGGAGATTTTGGGATACAAGAAGGATATTTAACTGCAACCTCTCACCAGAGCACAGAGCACTCAGAGTAACTCCTCTCTGTCTCTTGCTAGCACTCCAACCTTTACAGATTTTGATTATGGGAAACAAAATCTTCTCATTTGTTTTGAAGACCAGCACGTGGCAGTGGGATCAGATCAGCTCATTGCCACGGTGGATACGCACATCAACAGGGCCTTTTGATTTGTCCCTTGAATGACAGCAAGAATCCGCTCCAGCTTCTCCCTTGTGATATGATCTGCAAATATTAAGGCAAAAACAAAGTCTCAATTATCCATCCAGAAACTGGAAAGTCTGAAAAGTGCCACTGAGGTATTGCTGTCCCTCAGGCAGGCAGTCACATCAAAAGGGGCTGATGAGAGCTGAGGGATGGCCTTTGCAGAGTCATTCCCATGACTCTACATAGAGCAGCACAGAGCTGGACTGCCAAGGGAAGAGTTATAAAAATGTTGATGCTCCAGGTTTTTTTTCTTTCTTGTATGTTTTCATTCAATAAAATCTCCTAACTGCTATCTCCAAGTGTGATTCACAGGAGATCTGGGTCCTGACCAACTAATTAGTAACCACAGATACCACCATTCACAGTGCCTTTTGTATATATTGTGGTTAGATTTGGAACAGGGGCACTAGAACATCAACAAGGAATAGAAGACATGCAAGATGTGGCTTTTGTCATTGGGCAATTCACCTGATTAAATGCTTTAATCTGTAATGTGCTGTTCCATTAAAAAAAAAAAAAAACAACACATCAAATCAGTTTCTTACCAAATGTTGTCTTCTCTATTAAATTTCCTGTGTCTGAGAAGTCATCAGTGGCTTTACCAAAAAGTCCACCAACAGTATAAACCTGGAAGAAGGACAAAGAGTACAATTTATTAAAAAAACGGTCCAAGCAATTGAGCAGCAGTACTGCACCATGCAGCTGCTAGAAGTGCACACTATCAGTTTTATACAAAAAGACAGCAGCATCCTGTGCTCTAAAGACCACAAGTAGACGCTCATGTGAAGGATGAAACTCTGGACCCTGAAAAGCTCTCAAAAGCATTCCTAGGTTTGAGACATAAGTGCAGAATCAACATCAAGAGGCTGGTCTGGGACACTGAGGCAGGATCAAGTGTGCGATGGCCCTGTGGGGCTCCGTGGCATGTTCAGAGCCAGCACCTACCTTGGTCAGGTGGCAGTTGTACAGGTCAGTGAGCAGCTTGTTCCCATGGCCAATGCCAAGCACTGAAACGTAGAAAATGGGGAACCTGTTATTCTGCCTCACAAGAAGTCACTGGTGTGCATTTACACAGCATTGAACACTCATACCATTCTTGCCCCCTGGACAGGGCTGTATCTCCTTAGGTGTCACGTCTGAGCAATTAGACCCCCAGATTATTGTCTGGCGTGAAAACCATAGGGCTGTAATCAGAGCTCTTGGATTTCCCCAGAACTTTCCATCTGGGCACTCAGGGCAAATGCTCAGCAGTGCCAGTCACAGCAAAGCCAATTGAGGTGGTGGAGCAGACATGAGGATTGATGTTCCCCAGCAGAACCCACTGTGCCTGGGTCTCTCCCATCTAGCTTTGCCATTTCTTCTGTGTTTTAGCACTTAAACTCCCAGTGGGGCTGTGAGATCCAGGGGCTGCTGCAGTGCCATGGGCGTGCATCCACCCTTCTTCCCTGCATGGAAACCCATCACCTCGCAGGCAGCAGGACACGGCGCTGCCCCGGGACGAGACCCACCGAAGACTCCCGAGGCTTTCACATCCAGCCGGTGACCTGCTCCAATCTTCAGCTTCCTGAACCGCGGGCCTCGGACTGCAACGGAGACAGCGATGGAGCCGGTCCGCGGCGCCTGCCTGGGGCTCCCACCGGTCCCCGGTTTGTCCCGGCCCAGGCAGGCCCCGCTGTGCCCTTACCGAGGGGGTGGTCGGCCAGCACCGGCACCCTGGCAGCCACCAGCTCCACGGCCCCGCCGCCGCCCGGGGCCGGGGTCGGCAGGAAGCGGACTCGCTGCCGCGGGGCGGCTCCCGGCGCCGCGTTCAGCTCTGAGAGAGAAACGGGGAGAAAGGGGGAGTCAGGGGCGGCTGGCGAATCCCTGGGATGGGACGGGCCGGGCCCCGCCATAGGGGATGGGATGGGAGGGGATGGGATGGGATGGGATGGGATGGGATGGGATGGGATGGGATGGGATGGGAGGGAATGGGATGGGATGGGATGGGATGGGATTGGGCCAAGCTGGCTGAAGGCACCGGCCTTGCAGCCTGGCTCTGCCACTCACCCTCCTGTGGTGGATGGAACAGCACCACCTCTTCAGTCTCCTGTGCTGGGGCAGCTGCAGGGTCGCCTTCTTCCTCCTCCATCCAGGTCAGCTTGGGCACTCTCAGGGCTCCCTGCCCCATGTCACTGACTGGATTTCTGGCTACCCNGGAAGCGGACTCGCTGCCGCGGGGCGGCTCCCGGCGCCGCGTTCAGCTCTGAGAGAGAAACGGGGAGAAAGGGGGAGTCAGGGGTGGCTGGCGAATCCCTGGGATGGGACGCGTCGGGCCCCGCCGTAGCCCCTGGGGGTGGGGTGGGGTGGGGTGGGGTGGGATGGGGTGGGATGGGATGGGATGGGATGGGATGGGATGGGATGGGATGGGATGGGATGGGATGGTCGAGGGGATCCCGCCGCCCGCGCTCACCGCGCAGCAGCCGCGCCTCCACCGCCTCCCGGACGCGGCCCCACGCCACCCCCGCCGGTTTGTACACGGCGAACAGCCCGGCCAGCCCGGCCGCCGCCATGGCCGCCCCGCCCCGCCCCGCCCCGCTCCGGGCGCTTCCGGGGCAGCGGCGGGGCGGGCGCGGGGATGCGGCGGCTGCGGGCGGCGCTCCCGCTGCTGCGGGCGGCGCTCCCGCTGCTGCGGGCGGTCCCGCTGCCCCAGGCAGGTGCCTCCCGCCACAGCCCCCGGAGCGCCCGCGCCAGCCCCTCAGCCGGGCCGCTCCCTCACCCGCTGCTCCCCGCAGGCAGAGCCCGGCCGAGCCACAGCGAGCCGCGGGGCCGGCATGGACGCGGCGAGGAGCAGGAGCAGGAGGAGGAGGAGGAGGACATGGGAGGGTGGCAGCAGCTGTACCCCGGGCACATCCCCACCAGCCCGCTGCAGAAGGCGCTGCTGGCCGCCGGCTCCGCGGTCATGGCGCTCTATGACCCCTACAGACACGGTAAGGCCGGCGAGGGCAGCGCCGCCACCCGCGTCCAGAAAATCCCGCTCCCGGCCGCCTGGAAGCTTCATAGGAGAGTTTGGGGCAAGGGCAGGGCTGAGAACTGACCCGGCGAAGGAGGCTGTGAAAGAGAGGGAGTGAGGAAACCCAAACACACCCCAGTGTGACCCCTTCTGATGCCGCCCAGACCGGTCTGTTTCTCCAGAGTCCCCCAGGCCTCATGCCTGCTCCTCCATCCCATTCCCAGGAAGGGTCATATGGGTGACACCAGGGCAGGGTAACCCTGAAGCTGAAGATCGGTGGTTTATGGGATCCCCACTTTGCCACGGGCTTCCTGCCTGCTCCTGGCCAATGCGTTGTTTCACTGCCCTATTTCCTCACCTGCCAACCAAGGATACCCGGGTGTTGCGAAAACAGCTCTTGGGTCACTCTCTGGTCTCTCTTTCAGACATGGTGGCAGTCCTTGGGGAGACCACAGGCTGTCTGGCCCTGCCAAACCTGCGAGACAAGATGAAAAACCACCCTGAAGGTTACCGCATCCTCCAGTGCGTCCCTCCCCATCCCTCCCTCCCTCGCCGTGTGGTTTGTGGTGAGGTGCCAGACACGAGGCCAAGCAGGTTCCTTGACCTTGTGAAGGGAGAGCTTGGAAGCAGCACAAGTGTTTCATAGCTGTAACCCTCCAGGCTAACTTTATTTTTAACATTCACAGGAGCCCTATGGCACATCTAAGGGCAAACACCACTTTTCTGTCTGTTCTGCTTCGCTGCTGGAACTGGCAGCTGCCACCACCACGAGATGCAGCAGCAGGCACAGGGGAGAAATCCATGGATGTGGATGCTGGGCAGTGATGAGAACACACTACATCCATGGATTTCTTCCCTGTGCCTGCTGCTGCATTTTCTTGCTTTGGAGACTCTGCTGGTCTGCCTCCTCCTTAGGCACTTCCATATTTTTTTTCCTGGCTCAAACCAGGCCACTGAAATGAGGCCACTTCTCTTGTTTTCTTTTTTAAGACTCCATCACTTCTGCTTCCATGCCTGCAAGGACTCATTGAGTGCAGCAAGGCTGAGGACGGGGGAGATTTCTCTTATTAACCAAGCTCCCAGTGTATATCTGCTCACCTTCTCCCTATTCCCTGTCATGTGTCACACCTGCTGCTTATGTCACATAGGAGCTTGAGAAAGTTGCCTTTTGCGCTATGTTTGTGCAGACCAGCCTCATCCTAGCTCAAAAAGTTTACTTGGTAAAACATCCAGAGCCCTGGGATAGGGCTGAATCCCAGCAGAACTGCCCAGGGAGAGGGTTGGGAAGGGACATATCCACCTGCTCCTTGCCCTGTGGTATTGTAGGGATTTGCAGGGGTCTGAATTTGCCACACACGTCTTTTTGTTTTTATCCCCCAAGCTGCTGAGGTCCCTTTGACAACAAATACACAAGGAGGTATCTGCAGCCAATGTGAAACTGGTGCCAGTGATGCTTATCTCCCTGACACCTCCACTCTAGGAGCTGAGCAGCTCCTGGATCTTTTATCATGGGAAGAGTTTACACTGTGAATGGAAATAAAAGGGCTTTTGTTTACTTCCAAGGCTATGAGGCACCTGTTTGCCAACTACATGTAGAGGAGGCCTTTCTCTCTGAAGCTGGTGGTGAAAGCCTGAGCAGGATTGAAATTAAACCTGTGCTTGGAACAAATTCCTTCTCCTCTTTGGAGCTGCTCCTTTGAAGCTCTGGCTGCTTTGCTCTCTGCTCTGCAGGGCTGGCTGTTGCTGCAGGCTGTGCCTGGCTGGCAGCCCACACAGCAGCAGCTTTTCAGTGCAGGGGACACCACTGTTTTTCCCACCAGAGTTGTTACAAGCACACAGGATAAAGGCCCTTTTGTTGCCAAGGCTTCAGGTAGATCCTTTAAGCAATTTATGTCCCAGCCTCTGCATCAGATGTGCAGACAGTGCTGTCCCTGCAGTGAGCAGTTAGGATCTGCACAGGGAAAATAGCAGAGATGGACAGAGGCAGGGGTGTGGGTTTCCAGGGGCTCCTCTTCTGCAGGACCTGCTGCTGTGGATTTCACTGGGAGTCTCACTGACCTGTGTTTTGCTTCCAGGGAACGGCCTCGCATCCGTCTGTCCACCCTGGACATGGCCAGGCTGCAGGGGCTGCCGGAGGGCTCCCTGGGCCGGGAGTATGTCCGGTTCTTGGAGGACAATGTGAGTGTGGGGTTTCATGGGGTGCAAATTCCTGTGGCTGATCCCTGTGCTGGGAGCACAGGTGAGATTGGAGCCATGGAATTGAACTGGACTTCTTTGGACCTGCAGAAAGTTTCTCCAGACACCCGGATGCCGCCCAAGTTTGTTGATGATGAAGAGCTGGCATACGTGATCATGCGGTACCGGGAAGTCCATGACCTGATGCACACCCTCCTGGGCATGCCGACCAACATGCTGGGTGAGCAGCAATGGGCTCAGGGAGCTGCACTGCCAAACCCACCGACTGTGCTCAGCTGCCTCCCAGAAATGGAGCAGGCTGGGCCAGCTGGACTCCCCTGATCCTCAGCCTGGGTCTCTGTGTGGGGATTTTGCATCATCACTGTCCTACATCACTGGCTCTGTGGTGACTGAGAGGCCATGAGATGTCACCTTTTCCCTGCTAGGAGATGCTCTGCCCAAGCCCTGGGCACAGGCAGACACTGGATGGGTGGTTTCTGCCTGGCAAGGAGGGGGACATGAAGGGAGGGATGTTTTGCAAGCTCTTTGTGAAGGCAAAAGGGAATTCCTTGTTGCTCTTTATCTGCACGTCTCTGTGTCCTTTGCCCTCATTTTGTCTGACTCAATAGCAAGTCACAAGTGCAGCCTTGCTGGTACTTGTGAGGACCAGCATGACAGGTCTCTTCAGACTTTGCCTAAATCCAGGCAGTTTTGCAAAAGGCATGTGCTGGGAGACCAGGAGAGCCACGTGGAGCATCAGGCCTTGGCACCGCATTGCCGAGGTCTGCAGGCAGTTGGACTGCCTGGGATGTGTTCTCCAAGCTCCCAGGGCTTGTGGGGTGCCATCCCTCTGGGGTGGATGAGTGGTGTGTGACAAGGCCCATCCTGGCACAGGATGAGGCCATGGCCAGACTTAGGAAGCATTCCCAAGTAGCCATCCTTGGGAAGGGCAGATGTAAGCCTGTGCTGAGGAGCCACACAGCCCTGGCTGCCCTTGATCCAGGTGCTGTGTGTGCTCACAACCCCCCTGCTCCCTGCCAGGTGAGGTGGTGGTGAAGTGGTTCGAAGCCGTCCAGACGGGGCTGCCCATGTGTGTCCTGGGAGCAGCGTTCGGCCCTGTCCGGCTCAGCACACGGTAGGTGCCCAGTCTCTGCCCTGGCTACACACAGCCCGCGTGGTCTTTCCCGTGTCCACTGGGGACAAAGAGGGGACACTGCTGGTTTGCAGTGGGAAGTCAGTCACAGATCCCTCCATGAGCCTACTGCTGTCCCCACATCCCAAGGATGACAGCTTTGCCTTGTCACTGAAGCAGAACCTGATGCTTAATCTGCATTCAACACCAGCTCCCCTGTGCCAGGCAGGAGAAATTTCCAGACCTTGGATGGGCATGTGTTGAGAGCCAGCAGGACCCTCACCACACTGGTGGCTGTTCCCTGCCCCAGCACATCTGTTTTTGTTGCCTAGCAGTTGCAGAACCTGAGTTCTGGCCTTGGGTTGGTGCTGACTGTAACTTTCCTGGCACACCATCCTCTTCTGTGCCTCAGTTTCCCCTGTGAGTAAGCAGAGGGGATGCCAGAAAGTGAGAGGGATACATGGGACACATGAGCTTGGCATCAGCCTACAATGGGGACTTAGAGAAGGAAATTAACAAAATGTGGGTATCAAAACTGCCACCACCTGTATCATTTGTTCCAGAAAGCTGCAGGTCCTGGCCACCGAGCTGGTTCCCTGGGCGATTCGGAGCGGGCTCAACGCCAGCTGTGTCCTGAGCGTCTACTACGAGCAGCGCTGGGAGCAGCCAGTGGAGTCCCTGCGGGAGGAGCTCGGCATCTTCCCTCCCCCGGCCGTCCGAGTGTGAGCTCAGCTCATGTTGGGAAGAGCCCGGGGGATCCCTGTTGGCAGCCAGCAGCTGGCCCCAGCCACACTCAAAATCCTCCTGCCCTGCCCAGGAGCACAGCATGGCTGTAGCCCTTCCACCATGGACCCCAGCGCTGTGTTTTCTCCTGCCGAGAGCTGGCACCAACCTGGTAGGGGCCAACTGGCTGTGACAAAAACTCGACCTTTTTTGCTGTTTGTGATTTTGGTCGAGGTCAGATGTGCCTTTGCCAGCTGGTCTGGCTGCTCAGGTCTCCCAGCAGCAGCAGCGTTCCAGTACTGATGCTCCCAAGTGCTGGGACAGGGAGGGAGCACACTGCAGCAAAGGGATGCCTTGGCCTTCTGCAGCCCCAGGGCTGTGCAGGTAAATCCTTCTTCCCACCCTTCCCATCCTGGGAAGATTGAAGCTTCAGATCTTGGGGCTGCCCTGGACTGGAGCTAAACCTGTGATTTTCCAGAGGAGCACAGGGGCAGGTTTGGTGTGTGCAGTGGTGAAATCCCATTTTGTACTGGTGCCTAACTGGTCTCCTGTTGGGTCATATTGGATGTGCCTCACTTCCTGCCTCAGAGACCAGGCATTGTGTGATTGTGCCCACAGGGCAGGCAGGGAAATACCTTTGGATATTTTCCCTCCTGGATTGGCTGTTTTGAGAGCCGATTCCAGTCTGCTGCGTCTCCCTGTAGTCCCTCCCCATCAACAATTATGAAATCCATATGATTGTGCTGGCTGTTCAGTAGGAATCATCCCTTCCTTGGGCAAGAAAATGACACAATTGGGATTATGGGATTGAATGCAGTGAGTGCAGAAGCAGCGGCTGCTGGTGCTGTGTCTGGGAGCTGATGGCTGTCCGGGTTAATTAAACTGTGCTCCAGACTGCCAGCAGCCAGGGAGCAGAGTTGCTGGATGTGATGGCAAAGAGCCACGAGGCCAGGGGCTCTTTGTTCATGAGTGTTTGCTGTTGGAATTCCTTCTTGTTTAATAAATCCACACTAGGGCTTGTAGTTTTGCCTGTTCTTTTGCCCCATTTCCCTTCCTGAGCTGGAGATCTGATGCAAAACCTCACCCTTTTTTGCCTCCAGCAGGTTTTCTTACTGCCCCCCAGACTTCATTTTTCTAACTTCTCCCTGCATCCCCAGCCACACCACAAGCCAGACTTTGGGTTTTTCTCCAAATCCTACCTAAGGCCCCCAGAGTTATTTCAAACAGATACTAAAAGACAGCATATAAATATGTCCTTTATCTGCCAGTAAAACACACAGTGTGGGGTTATCCTAGTGCAGTGGTCGAGATGAAAGAAACATTTGCCTCTAAAATGACCCAGAAACGTCAGAGCCTTGGGGTGGATAAACCAAAGGGCAGCAAAGATTTGCTTCCAGGAACTGTGAGCAGCAATCAAGGAAATACGGGAAAATGATGGCCGTGAGAGAGGTTTTTGCTGCATTTTGTGTTATTTAATGAGGCCTTGAAGTGTCTGGGCTGTCAGTGTTGATGGTGCCGCCTTCGTGCAGCCATGTGTGACTCAGTGGGCTGGTGCCAGCGCTACAGAAATGGCACATCATGTAATTTTAAATGGCATCTGCTCAGCCGGATCAAGTAACACTCTCTGCGGCTCCTGTTCCTGCAGCCGTCGCTTGAGGAGCCTGCGGGAAGAAGGCGGCAGAGGGAGCCGAGGGTGATTCGGGGAGGGCAGACACCAGCCACATGAAAATGCTTTTTTTGGAGAGGGTATATTCGCTGTGGGCAAGTGGCAGCTCCACCATGCCCGTACTGCGGGGCCGTGGTAACATTTAACTCCTGAAATGCTGGGGCGGATGCCGGGGCACGCTGCCCGGTAGCGCCGGGGTTTCTGCGGTGCCGGGGCCGCCCCTGACCCGCTCCCAAAACGGAACGTGCCCCTCCGCGCTCTCGGGAGAACGGGCGGACCCCGCGCGGCGGCAGCGCCCGGGGGCGGCCGCGGGTCCCCCCGGCCCGGTGCAGCCCCGGAGCCCCGGGAGCGATCGCCGCTGCCCGGCGGCAAAATGCGACTCTGGTGGGACTCGAACCCACAACCTTTGAATGACTCCCGTCACACGCTAGAAGTCCAATGCGCTATCCATTGCGCCACAGAGCCCTCGCTCTGCCGCGCCGCCCTCACCGCCTCTTCCTCGCGCCCCGCCCGCCCCGCCCGCGCCGCCGTTCCCCGGCGCTGCGTCCGTCACCGCGGGGCCGGGCCGGTGCACCGGGCGGGACTACAGCTCCCGGCGGCCCGCGCTGCCCGCCCCTCCCCGCCCCTGCCGCAGAGCCGGGCGGGCCCCGCTCCCGGTGCAGGTGGCCGGGCCCCAGCGGACGCCCCGGAGTCCGGTAAGAGCGCGGCACCATCCTCCCCAGCCCGGTCCGTCAGCGCCCGGCGCCGCCGCGCCGGCCGCGCTCCGTCCCCGCGGGCGGCCCCGCGGGCTCCTCATCAGGCGCCGCGGCCCCGCGGGCGGCACCGGGGTGCTTCTGCTGCTCTCCGCAGGAGGTACCGGGGCTCCTCGCGGGGCAAGCGCCGGGATCCCTCCGTGCCCTGGTCTCGCCACGAGCGCGCCACGGGCCCTCCCCCGCCGAGAGCGGCCGTGCCCCGGCGCTTCCGGGGCCTGGCGGGGCTGGGCGGCGGGGCCTGGCTGCATCCCGGTGCGGGGCCCGCCCGGTCTTCCTGCCTCGTGTGACGGGGCTGGGCGGCGGGGCTCGGCCGCCCGGCTGGGGTCCCCAGGAGGGCGAGGCGGGGGTCCCTGCCCCGGGCAGGTGGGGGACAGGTGCCTCCCAGTGCCGCCGGCGTTTCTCAGCCCGGCCGCCTGCCCGTTGTCGCCCCTGGGACCCGCTCCTCGGGCTCGGTGCTCCCCGGGCGGATCCCCGCGCTTTGCCTCGGTGCCTGCTGGCTGTGAGCTGCAAGCGTGGCTTCGTTTCCTCCGTGCTGATGCAGCTGGACAAGAGCTGAATCTGTAACGCGGGGCTGGAGGTCTCTGCCAGCCGCACACCGGGTATCCCTCGGGAATCTGTCCCCGGGTATCCCTCGGGAATCTCTCCCCGGTTATCTCCGTAGGAGGCACCGGGATGCCGGAGTAAGGTGGAGATATGAGCAGAGGATAACAGGGGCTTGCCTGAGCCTGCCTTGGCTTCAAGAGGGAGATTAAGCACTTTGCAGCCCACGCAGAGTGGGGCTCCCCCGCTGCTGCCTCTCCACATCTGGCTGGTGTGAGGCTGTAACGGAGGGCCCAGGTCCTGGCTGAGGCACAGTAGATGGTGATCTAAAAGTTGCCCTTTTTAAGTGCAGAGAGAGGCTCCCAGGCAAAACCACAGTGAGTCCTTCCCTGCATAAAAGCAGAGGGAGGTGTTGTGGGACATCACGGGAGGTAGGTGTTTGGTGGGGAGTGTTCAGAGGTCCCTGGCACTAGGGCGAATCTCAGGGTAAAGGCTGTCTTGTGCTCTGATGCATCCCAGCCTGCTGCTGGTGGCACGACTCAGAGGTGGGACAGCCAACAAACACATGTGACCATGTGGCACTGCCTTGGCTCCCACCCTGCCAGCATCTGGTATCAAATTCACAGAAGCTCCTTGGATCTGGGGGGACTGTGCAGAGCAGAGGGAAAGCCACAAGTGTGGCTCCCAGCCCCACCATGGAAGCCCATGCAGGGCTTCCAGCTTCAGAGCAGGGAATCAATCTTCAAGAGGGAAATGATGCAAATGTTTCCTTCCTCTTTGGCCTATGTCCATGCTAGGAAGGGTCAGTTTTATCTAGGAGCTGTGAGGGTCACATCTCTGTCATTTTCCTCCTCCCAGTGCTGTTGCCTGAAAAGAACCATTGCTAGATCACTGTCTCTGAGTCTCAGAGCTACTTCTGGGGTGTGTCTGGGATGGGGACAGAAATGCTGTTTTGGAGGGACAAGTACAAGAATGGAGTCACTGTCCCCAGGGAATGGGACAGGGGCCTGGGCACTCCTGGCAGCAGTGACAGCCCTTGTTCTGCCCACTCCAGCCTCGCCTCATCCCTGACCTGCTCTGTCAGTGATTCCAGCCTGCCCAGGCCAGGAAACTGCCTGCCAACATGAGGGTTTGCAAACACAAGTAGAGCTCAGAGAACTGAGTTTCCTGTCCCTGATCCTGTCTGAGCTGTGTCGTGGAGCACGTGAAGCTGTGCTCTTCCAACAGCTGTGATGGCTGTCCTGGAGCCAGCATGCAGGAGAGCTCATGCTCAGGGCCTGGCAGACTCTGGATTTTAAGGACAGAAGGATTCTGGGGTAGAGTGGAAGCTTCCAATCATCTGTACACGGTTTCCTGCCATGACTTTGCTCACACATACGTGGAAGTGACTTTATCCTGCATCTCATGTTGCTGGGGCGTGGCCAGACCCCTGGCTGGTGTGCAGGATGTGGCTCCCCAGGTGGAATGGTCAGGCTCTCGGCTTGCACCGAGCAATGCCGTGCTGATGGCTCAATTGGAGGCCATCTCCAGGGTCAGATGAAGTTACATCTCTGGGAGCTCTGGGCTGCTGGGTTACATCCTCACTGCCAGGAGGACTGATGACTCAGGGACCTCATCCAGGAAATTGGGGGCTGCTCAGGCATCCCACACCCATGGGATTATTATCACCAGGTCCATTGTGCGTGGGTTGATGGCTGTGGTTTCTCTCTCTGCAGGCCACGATGCTGCGTTTGGCTGCTTTTGCAGCTGTGCTGCTGTTCTTGAGGGTCACTCTGGAACTGTCCTGGGCCCAGGCCATCCCTGCTCTCTTCATCTTCTACCTGGCATCCGGTGGATGGGACTTCTTCCTCATATTCCTCAAGACAATACCAAGGGACTTCAGGTAGGTGTCCTGGCTGGGTTTGTCCAGCCATCCACCCCTGGCTCTCTGCTCTGCCTTGGTGTATGTGTATGTGTGAGCACAGTCCCTGACTCCTTGCACAGCCTGGGTTTCTGCTGACACCTGGCCTGGGTGGAAGGAGATCTCCCTCTGTTGTGCCCGGGTGACTCCAAACTCTCGGGCAAACTTTTCCCAAGAAGGATAGATTTCAGCTGAGCTCAAAGTCTATTGACTGTCCTTGTACTTCAACCTGTCCCTAAAGATGCTGGCGTAGCACCAGGCTCCTCTGCGGGGTTTATTCTGAGTTGGTATCAGGCTGTGCCAGCTCCTGGCAAGGATATGGGGGGGAGGGAGTGGTGGTACCTCTTGGAGAGAATTCGAGGCTCAAAAATGCCCCTTTGATCGGGGACATCCCTGTCTGCAGACTTCCAAAACACATCTGTCCCTGGCTATGAGCATCTCTGCAGATGTGTTCTGCCTACGTACACACTGCTCAGGGGAACACGCAGAGCTGCTGCTGACCTCAGGTGGGGTCTGGTGTAAGGGCTGGGCTGTTGCAGCTCCTCGGAAGGTCCTTGTGCTGTGCTGGCTTTGCTGGAGGAAGTGGTTTTGCAGGAGTCACTGAGCAGCTGCCCTCTTGCTCCCCTTCCTTTGGCAGCACGGGGCTGGTCCTGTTGCGGGTGAAGTGGCAGGTATGGAGGCACATGAGGGAGAAGAACACAATCCCCAAGATCTTCCAGAAGACCGCAAGGAAGTATTCAGAGAAGACAGCACTGATCTTCCAAGGCACAGGCGAGAGCTGGACCTTCCGTCAGCTGGACGAGTACTCCAACCAGGTGGCCAATTTCTTCTACAGCCAAGGCTTCCGCTCGGGCGACGTGGTGGCGCTTTTCATGGAGTCCCGCAATCAGTACGTGGGGCTGTGGCTCGGCCTGGCCAAGATCGGGGTGGAGACGGCCCTCGTGAATTCCCACCTGCGCTTGGACGCCTTGCTGCACTGCATCGCCATCTCCAGCTCCAAAGCTGTGGTTTTTGGGGTGGAAATGATGGAAGGTGAGGGGCTGGCAGATGTTTTGGGAGTGCCTTGGACTGGAGGGAGGTGTGTCTACTCAGTGGGTTCAGTGCTCCTTTCCTGCCCACCACAGAACAGAGATCTGGAAGAGAATAGGCAGTTGAATCATCCAG